TGGACTCAGTTCAATGTATAATTAATCGGTGAGTTCGTGCGGAAATTCAATTAAAGTGAAAAAAAGTACCAAACCACCTCAGAAAAATCTCAAACTTGGTGGTGGCTATACATAAGGCATTTGAAGTCTTGAGAAAAAATTCAGCTCAATCCGGCACTAGAAAGCACATGGACCTCAGAATCCCAGAGAACCTAGGTGTATAGATAGGGTTCGACGAAAGGTTCTATATACCTCTGTGAAGCACGTTGACTCCGCCTATGTCGAAATGGCTTAAAAAAATTTGGCAGCCATTTACACCCAAAATATGGCCCCACACAAGATCTTAGGTTTTTCTGATAATTATTTTTATTATTACATTTTTCTTTGTGGCGCGTGAGACGAAATACGGTGAATTACATATTCAAAACAATATAATTTTGCATCAACCTCCACAAATATTTGTCTCCTAGGGCACAAGAGACCATTTGACAAAGTTTGGCACCATTCCGGGGTGGACTCTTTTTAATCGGGGAATGGACTTAAAGTGCAAAGGCATAAACCAGATATAAATTAATCTTGGTGTGAATTCGTTTGAGGAAATTCAATTAAAGTGCAAAAGCAACCAAAGATAGGGTTCGATTTAAAGTTCTATATATACAAAATCTATGTCAAATGGCTTGAAATATTTTTTGGCAGTCATTTACAAAAATATGGCCCCACACAAGATCTTAACTTGGTGGTGGCTTCACACAGGCATTTGCGGTCTTGAGAAAAAATTTTTGACCAATCTTTGGAAAACATTTGGCACCACATTCGATCATTTAGAAACACTGGACCTTAGAATCCCAGAGAACCTAGGTGTATAGATAGGGTTCAACGAAAGGTTCTATATATCTCTGTGAAGAACGTCGACTCCGCCTAGGTCAAAATGGCTTAAAAATTTTTTGGCAGTCATTTACACCCAAAATATGGCCCCACACAAGATCTTAGGTTTTTCTGATAATTATTTTTATTATTACATTTTTCTTTGTGGCGCGTGAGATGAAATACAGCGAATTACATATTCAAAACAATATAATTTTGCATCAACCTCCACAAATATTTGTCTCCTAGGGCACAAGAGACCATTTGGAAAAGTTTGGCACCATTCCAGATCTTTTCGGGGGTGGACTCAGTTCAACGTATAATTAATCGGTGAATTCGCGCGGAAATTCAATTAAAGTGCAAAAAGCACCAAACCAGCTCAGAAAAATCTCGAACTTGGTGGTGGCTTCACACAGGGCATTTGCAGTCTTGAGAAAAAGTTTGAGACCAATCTGGCACTGGAAAGCACATGGACCTCAGAATCCTAGAGAACTTAGGTGTATAGATAGGGTTCGACGAAAGGTTCTATATATCTCTGTGAAGCACGTCGACTCCACCTATGTCGAAATGGCTTGAAATTTTTTTGGCAGTCATTTACCCCCAAAATATGGGCCCACACAAGATGTTAGGTTTTTTTTGGCGATAATTCTTTTTATTATTACATTTTTTCTTTAAAGTGCAAAAGCACCAAACAAGCTCGCGTGAGACGAAATACCGTGAATTATAGATTGAAAACACTAGAATTTTATGCGTCAAAATACGAAAAATAAAACTTAAAAACTTATGTGTGAAAATTATAATTTTCCCTAAAATCTAAAACTATTTTTTCAACAAAAGACTCTAAAAATCAAAGTATACTTAAGAAAAGAATATAAATGAAACTAATAAACTAAAACTATTTGTTTTTTTTAATAACTTTTTAATAACTATCGGAAGCTTTATTCCCGATTAGAGGTTATAACCAGAACAAAGAGCAATATTTATTCCCATCTAAAGCCTCCGGTAGGGACTAAACATTTAGTCCCTGGTTAGTGGCTCTAGCCGGGACTAAATGTTGATCTTTAGTCCTGATTATAGCCTCTAACCAGAGATTAAAGGTTTGCTGCCGAGCCAAGCCAATTGGCGTTGGCGGCGACCTTTACTCTGTGCTCGAGGTAAAGTCGGGATTAAATCTCCTTCACTCCCGGGTTCAAAAAATGTCGGGAGTAACTCCAAAAATGGTGCTGAGACAAAAGGTCTGTTTTCTACTAGTGTGTAGGCCTCAGTTCGGCACGCAAAGTGATGATGGCTTGCATATATATACCTAGATTAGGATGGCACCGGCTTTAGTTCGTCAAACACTACTCCTGATGATGGACAACTTCAAAGATCTTTCTGACGAGGAGGAACAGACACACAGGAGGTGGTGCTTTGGTGGGCGGCACCTCTCCCAAGATGAGAGTGCGAGGCTGCATCCACCCTAGCTACATCAACGAGAAGGGACGAGACAGAGCAGAACTAGATCTCAGTGGAGGGATGTTGCATCCTAAGCAAGCAAGAGGAGGAAGTGGAGAGGTGCTGGGCAGACAAATCCGCATGTCCTGAGCCATATGCGAGTGGAGGGGTGGGCAGCAAAGAAGAAGAAGGTTGGGGGCGGGGCCTAAGATGGGTTGTGGACGATTAAGGAGGGGTAGGGGCGGTGAAGGAGAAGGATGGTAGAGGATCCTGAGAGAGAAGTGCGGCTAAGGGTGAGCGTGATAGAGAAGTTAGGGTTAGGGTTACATGGGTCGGATGGGCCTCGACCTAATTTATAGAGGCAGACCTCTTAAGACATTCACCTATATAAAAAAGACTATTTTTAGAAGACATACCTATATTAATCAATTCGATAGTGATGCAATTCAGACATTTGGACAGACGGACGCCTTCCTCCGCTCACTCCCGCACACGTCGCTCGCCCAGCGACCCTATCCGCTCATCCCATCCGTGCACCCTGATGCTCGCTGCGTCGTTTCCTCCCTGCGTCGCCATACCCATCCGCCCACCCCACTCCGCCTCGCCACCGTTGGTCCCCCGCAGCGCCACGCCCCATCCCCTACGGCCTCCCCTGCGCTGCCTCCTCCGCACCGCATTCCCCACCAGGCCCAGTTTGCCTCGCCTACCTCCACCGTGCTGCCTCCTCGCCGCGGCAGGCCCTACTCGCCGCGACCACCTCCACCGAGCCGGCAAGCCGTAGCCACCTCCACCGAGCCGGCGAGCCTCTACGATGGATGCTCCAGCAAGCAGGCAAGGGCAATAAGATTCGTGTGGCGCCGCGTCCGCCAGCGAGTTGCCCGTGCCGCTGCCACACAGTGAGGTCTATGCGCCGCCGTCGACTTCTACGCTGGCGTGCCTCTATTCGTCCAAGCAAAGCCCATGTTGCAAGAGTGTGTTTCAAGTATTTCAGATGTTTCATCTTGATGTTGCAATTGTTTCATCTTGATGTTGCAAAGTAGATCATAATGTTGCACATGTTGCAGTGGCTATACACGTATGTTTCAAGTGTATGTTCCAAAATGTTTCATCTCGTTTTCTAGACATGTTTACAAGTGTTTCATCTGGATGATGCATATGTTTTCACACATATGAAGTGCTTTCAGGTGTTTTTTCGCAAGTGTTTCCTATGCATGTTTCGAGTGTTTCAGTTGTTTCGTACGTATGTTGCAAGTGTTTCATCTGGATGTTTGAAAAGTAGATCTGGTGTTGCAGCTAGTGTTTCAGATGCATGTTTCATGTGTTTCATCTGCCTTCAAACGTACGTTGCACGTGTTGCATCCAGATGTTTCAAAAACAAAGCGGATGTTGCATCTCTGTCCTCACTTTTCTGCTGACTCACCTTCGCCTCGGTGTTCCTCCCCTCCTCCCGGCGTCGGCTGGGCATCAACCGCCCCTCCCCCACTTCTGGATGCTGGCGTAGCCACCTGCTGTAGTCACCTGCTACAACTGTTGGCCGTGCGCATGCGCGTGAGAAGCAGAGGGGGCGTGAGCAGGGACTCCCCACATGCAGTTGGGTGGCGCAAGCCCCGTGTAGGCGGGCGCGGGATGCATGTGCATGGGGAGAGACGGAGTGTAGGCGCGGGCATCCGGGCGCAGGCGCTAGCACTGCCCTAATCAATTTACGGAGACGGTGTGTCTTTGTAAATGGGTCAACTGCCTCTAAAATTCCCTATCTTTAGAGACATGGACATTTTTTCATCACTATTATAAATAAAAGATATCCTCTAAAATTATTTTTGTAGTAGTGAGGTATATTAGAGTTTCCCAGTGGCAATACGTTCTCCAAGAGTAAGATACATTGCAGAAATTGTTGCCGCTCACCATATTCTGCACATTGAATACGATGAGTGTGCGACTATCTGTATCTTTGTCTGCACAGATGAGTAACCCAGTTACAAAAGGTTCAGTTTGTATCTTACCCCGTACAATTGAACACCGAATTTACAACAGTTCTGTTTCTTGCGTTTGTATCTCTGCAAGCTCATATTACCTGCAAGTTATATGGTTTCCTATGGTTGTATCATGGAAGTAAATACTACTGTAGGCTTTCAGCTTGTGATAGCTTCCAGTTTTCTTCACCGAGAAGCGGTACTCTTGTTCATAGTTTAAGAAGCTTTAAAAGAAGCCGTATTGAAAGGATCCCTTGAATTAAAGAGTTAAAACTTGAAGTATGAAAACTTGTATTCGATTTTTTTTCTTTTTTCTTTACCTAATACAAGAATTAAGGATTCTATATCCTTATACAGTCACAAGCAAAACCTATGAATGTGAGAGGCGGCCTACGTCCAATTAATTGTTGATAATCCATAAAAATGTAGTACTGATGAAATGCCAACGCAACTTAAGCCTCCATATTTACATGTTGTATGATTGATTATACAAGTCACTGAGTTTGAATCAATATTTAAGAGTGATATGCAACTGTTTTTCCTTCTTTCTGGGACAACAACTTCCACTATACTGTACAATATATTGTTGACTTCAATAACCATGATATAGAACAAGCCCTCGTATCTATAATCCCTAATTCAATGAACCTAATTTTTGCCACAATAGGCATTTTCTTTGTGGATATGAAAACCAATAGTAATAACAAAACTAAAAACTGGAGAATTGAAACCCCACTACCTTTGTTTTCCAGTTTATATTATTCCTGAAACTCTTAAAGAGGAAAATACAACAAAAACAACCCAAAGGATCATGAAGTAGACTGATGTAACCCAAGCCCATAGCCTAGGGCCGCCAAGCTCAGCGCCGAGTATAATGCGGCGCAGAACCAAAACCGTTATACATCCAAATGATGTCGCAAAGAAGACTAGAAGGGAGAAGCTGAGACCAGCAGCATTATCTATGTACAATGGTTCCTGATAAACGAAGAAGTTGTACACTGTGTCAATCAAAAATGGAACACCAATGCCAACATATATGTTCACCGAGTTACTGCAACAAGGGAATTTTGTCAGTTTATTCAGCTCCAGATTGAGGAAATGGAAACGGTGACAAAGGAAATGGCAGGAATGAACCTGCAGGTGATGTTGGCTATTGCAGAGTCTGCAGTGACTTGACGCTCAGCAGCTATCTTGCTGGCAACTAGATCTGGCCATGAGGTTCCAGCAGCCAGTGCTGTGAATGCAATAACATATGGACTTACTCCTGCTCAAAACAGAAGATTCTCATGTCATCATACATGTACATAACATCTTGGTGAGCAGATTGAACATTAAACATGTGCTTGAGTATGTTCTAACCTGTGACGCAGCTTATCTGATCTGTAAGCTTAGTAACGCCATAAGCAATACCACTTATGAAGACCAGTGAGCATATAAAAGCAATCCAGCCATGTGCAATGTGGTATGGGGGCACAAAAGCAAACAAGAATTTCCAAGGCACAATGATCAAGTTCCAAAATATTCTGGTGAACCTCAGGCAAGCAGAATCCATCTTCCTTGACTCAGGGCTCTCCAACTGCATATATTGATAAAATCAATTACTACGCCAAAAACAGAAAGTTCTTAACATTGGCTCAGTTTTAAGATTGACAAAATGACTAATGTTAATATTACAGAATTTTCTCCTCGCTAGATGGGAAAAGGGGGTGGATGAAACTATTTCAACATAACTGTGTTTGGTAAAACAAATTTGTCTCAGCAGCACTTAGAAATAAGTTCCTCATTTGTATGTAAAACAGAAGCCTAGAACATATTTCCCAATCCATGTACCACATAGTTATGGTGTCCAGCATATTAAAAAGTTCAGCCACATCTGTCCCATTAAATGAAATGAATTCTCTAAACTTCTAATATTGTCCTAGGATCCTAGCCAAATGCAAAAATAGATGACTAGCTATTCAATACACATAAAGAGACCAACAATGAATCAAATTACCATTGAAGCATCAACAAATTGTTGCCACCAAATAGAAAGCCAGGACATATCCTCTTGTGTGTTCTTTACAACTTGATCGATTGTTGACGATCCTTCCATATCCTTTTGTGGAACTTGACTGTACTCTAGAGTACAGATGTCGAAAACATAGAAATGATTACTTCAAACAATAAATACAACAAATATATCGGTAACTCAAATTTAGGAACCCCCCAACCCACCCCACCACACCACCTTCAATGCTTAACTTAACATAACGTGAAAATAGGTAATTAATCAATCCACTGCACTTGGTTGCATTCACTGATGCACTATCATTCTATCACTAAGGATAGATATTCGAGAAACTGGAAAGCTCGTACCTGCATTGTGGTAGGAATGTCCAGAGAATACGTCTACAATGCCATCATTCCAATCAGCATTTATAGGGAGTGTCTCACTAATGCCATCACAGTTGTGGTAATCAACAGAAACATCTTCTGGTGGAACCCAATCTTCAGGCCTCTCACCTCTCACACTGATTGCAGCAGATTGAACTAAAAACATAAGCTACATATGCCCTAAACTGTACATGAGCACATGACCAAGAGATAAGTTTGCAAAAGAAAAGGTAATCAGGAATTAGGATCGTACAATGGAATCGATACAAATGGCCACCGTTTATCCTGTGCATACGCATGAAGCAGAAGCAACCCATACTGCAAGACTGTCAGCAATGCCTCCCAGAGGGTGATCACTTTAGGTGTCCACACCTGCACGCAGTGCAAAGTATTCGTTGATACCAAATGCACTTGCATAGCAGAATTATTTTGTATATGATAAAATTCTTTGAACTTTGGCTGATGATATCTCATATCTCTGAATACTTAGTCAAAGAAACAAAAAAGATGTATAAATTCTTCATAACTACTTTTGTAGTATTATAGCCTTATTAGATTTTATAAAACAAATTAGTGTTAAAATATGTGTTCCAAGCCATGGCAATGTCCAGGGCATCAATAATTGTAACCAAGCTGTATATTACGACTTACCTCTAAGATAACATAGAGCCAAATATATGCCCAGAAAGACCAGACGAGCTCAACTAACCAAACACCCAAGTCAGAGATCTTTTTCTTAGACCCTGCCCTTGGCATAACCACACAGACAGCATGGATTGGAAACAGATCAAACGCCGCAGAACCAACAAGTGTGCCAGGACCCAGACCTGCAAAATCCCAAATACCAAATCACCTATCACGCTACACTTGAATACATATTATACTGCAAAAGTTCACCACCAAGCCAATTATTTAATCACTGTAGTGGTACCTCCTGCTGTCAGTTGACCCAGATTACGGATCGCATCGATGGTGGCCAGGGAGATCTGAGGAAAACTGGTGCCGAATGCAAGCAGAGCAATGTCCGCCACGGCGTAGTTCCACACCTTCTCGTGCTTCACGACAGGCGCCTTGGTGTGCGGGTCGACGCCGACCACCACTTCCCGGGAGTGCCTCATGATCTGCTCCATGGATTTGAAGAACCGGGCGGTGATCGCGGACAGCCCGATGAAGCAGTACGCGAGCGCGACGGTGTAGAGGGAGGCGCGGACGCCGTTGGAAAGCAGAGTTTCGCCATGGAACAGCAGGTAGGTGTCACTGTCACACGACGACGATGGAGGAGGAACAGCACGCACCATCGCGATGTTGGACATCAGATGAGACGAGAGGTTGAGAAAAGTGTTCTAGCTGGTTTCTGTTGTATCACGGATGACACAGGTAATTAATCCATCAGCAGAGTTTTGGCAAGAAAAATGTTGCTACTGAAGCAGAGGCGGCATATCGCCATGGCAAAATCGCGCAGATTCCGCTGAGGCCATGGGGAGCGAGACAGGAAGAAGGGACAAGAACGCACCAGTGGTCCAGTCCAGTCCGTGGCCGGAGTCGAGTCCCCACGAACCACCGCAGCCTCCTTCTCCGCCGACGGCGAGGCCCCGACGCCCGTTGCTCTGCTCCTCTGTATGGTATCCAATCCAATGCGCCGCTCTGAGACTGCAGATTAGAGAGAGAGCGCGTCAGAAGGGGGTCCAGATTGAGGAACAAAGACTGCATATTGACGAAGCCAATCGATAGTACGGATCAAAAAAAAAGTTTCCATTTTTACAGTAGACGACAGATCATTGTCAACTTCTTGGCGAGGCAAAAGAAAAAGGCGCCGAACAGAAAAAGGCGACTAATCGCATCGCATCCCAACCGGAGACGAAGCATCCAGCCATCCAGGAGAGGGACTGCGGAAGAGGAATGGGCGCGGGCGGCTTACCAGTACCAGCAGTCAGCGGCGGGTGGACGGGTTGCAGCCTCGCCGGAGCCGGGCGGCGCGGGACCCCCGCGGCGGCGCACGCGAGGACGGTCCCGCAGATCCCGCGCTGCCGGTGCTGTGCTTCTCAACCCCGGGACAGACTTGGTAGTGGGGAGCGGTGACGGAAGCTACTGCATTTGGGAGCTGAATGCTGCCGCTGCTTCGGCCACACCAAACGCGCGCACACCAAATTGATAGTGGCGATTATAGGAGTATTAGCGAGGGGTATGTGATAATTTGAGGTTCATGAATCCCAGTCGTCTGAGGTCACTCTCGGGAGTACACACTATTAATGCAAATGCAAACGGGACGACTTTGGAAGGTACTTGTGCTTGCACCACTACCAACAAGTTAAGGTTCATCGCATTTACATTTTTTTGCATGTGAAAAAGATTGTAAATTTGCAAGAACAAAGCGTATAAGGTCAACGGATTTCGTTCCATTGTTGTAGGTTTCTCAACAAAAGATGGTGATGCTTGCGGTACAAAATTGTCTTTCAACCCGTCTACAATAGTGAGGGTCTGTTTGGATCTACTAACACCAAATTAGAAGTTAAAATTAGTATCAGTGAATCTAACTGGCCTACTAATAAACATGCTAATTATCAGCCATGGGATTACTAGCTATTAGTTCCATTAGCTTATTTGAAGTGTATATGATAATAGTTCATATGCACGTTCAACTCACTATGCTACAACCACCTATTATCAGGTGGATCAAAATAGTCTCCTATTAAAAATTAGGTAGCTTAAAAATAACAGGTATTACTATTAGCTAGCTAATTTTTAGTGCTGCCAAAACCTTGAACGGTTCTATAATTCATATTGTTTCGGACAATAACTCATCTTCGGAACATATTTTTGCCAATACGTGTACGATTTTATTAAATTATGGTTCAAGATTAATCTATACTTCCCAGGACTATCTCATTGTATTTAAACTGAACATTTGCGAAGTTATTGGTAATTAAAGTGTCAAAACTTTAACCTAAAATTATAAGAGAAACAAAAACATAATAACTCGTATAACCGGTAGGATTTAGCAGCCATCGCAGCAGGGGCAGTGGAGCGACACAGACTCGTCGAAATTGGTCGGGTACTTTTCCACCTGCTTGGGACCATGCAAATTATGGTAGCCACCTACTAATTCTAGTATGAAAAAGGGTGCTTTTTATCGTGCCGGGTCAGAAATAAAGGACACATCATTTTCGTCCCCATGTGTACACCCGTGACTTTCTCTTGGCTCTGCATTGCCGTACTGACGTGGAAGAAGCAACACCAAAAATGCGTGCGTGCATGCCAGTTGTTTGTCCTTTTCCAAAAGGAAAAAAAAACTGAATTCCATCCATACGATAGATGAAATTGAAACCTAGGTGGCCGGTGGGCTGCTGCAATTTTTGCAAGGTCCCCATGCTTTTGCTATCACGTAGACTACGTGTGAGTGACTGTGTGTGTTGGTCTATCAGCGGCACTTGCTTATGGCCACAAGACAAGACAGGCCTGCACGTTGAGAGGCTATTGTCAGGGTCCCACAACTCTCAACTCTCTATGATCCATCGTGTCACCATCCAGCCGTGAAAGTCGTGTCGTCTTCGTTTATTCTTTTTCTGGAGGTGGAGGGTTTCCCCCTTTGGACCAATCAACTAAATAAATAAATCTCGTGAATGAATAAAGAAACGTATGGGGAGATGATAAATCAAATTGCCTTAAGCTTAACCAAATATGCAGATAAAAAATTGTCACCATTTATGAGACTATACAGATAGAGTATGAAAAATGTGTTTATGAAGAATCTTGAGCATATAAATATTAGTAATCATTTCTATAAATGAATCTGATAATATAAAACCGGTTTGAAACATGAATATATCATTCTTATAAGATAATATAGGGATAACACACAGACGCCTCCGATTCTTAAATAAATAGAGAAAACAAAAAAAAATTGACAGCGACTGGACAGAGTCAAAACTGGAATTTATATAGGATTCAAAAAAATTGAAATTTATATTACAAGTTTTACGGTGGTTAAGAGAGATATGAACCTCCCATGAAGAGAGATCGAACGGTGAAGAAATCGGAGGTTACAAAAAAGTACTGAAATGTACCAAATAAATAAGATTAGTAACAAAATACATGGGGCCAGTACCTGTCGGCGTTTCGAGTTGCCACCAACAAGTAAATTTCTAATATTGCGTGTCTGGCTCGGATGATGTGCTAAGATGACACGAGGTTTATACTGGTTCAGGCAGAATGTTCATACGTCCAGTTCGTTGCTGCTGCTCGTGTTATTAGCACTGAAAGTTCGTAGTAGGGGGTTACAAACGGTCGAGAGAGGGACAGGTCCCAAGTCTCTGGTGAAAGGAACTAACGGGTGCCGAGAGCTCAGTTGCTTCTCGGCTATGTGCTTGTGTGTTCTAATCGGTTGGGGGTTTGAGTCTGGATCGGTGTGATGTGCTGTGATGCGCCCGAGTCGAGTCGAGTCAAGTCCATGGGACGTCCTGCTTTTCCTTTTATAGGCCAAGGGAAAGCACGGGTTACAGTCGAGGGAAAATGGGGAGAACGAGAAGGAGAAGGGGTCCTCTAGGATCGCCAGATCCTTCTTTTCCTTCACGTAGGTCCCGCCGACCCTGTAGACGTCAACATGGATATCTCTATGTCGCGGCCCTGTCCGTCACTAGCGCCATGTGCAGGCGTCGTCTCCCGGTCGTGGCGCCCCACTCTGTCCTGACGAACGTCGTGGTGAACTAACGTGCCTGTCAGTGCCTGTACGAGGGTTAGGCATAACAGTACTGGTACGCCCAACGCTGTTCCTGATGTGAATCCCCAAGTATGGCCCATCATGGCAACGGGTTACATCGGGGCGTGCCGGTAGCCTCCCTGGGGTCAGAGCTTTGACCCAGTGCCCATTCTCTAGGACCTGGAGTGGTTGGCGACGGTATGGGTCTCCGTCGGGTGAGGCGGAGCCCGTGGCCTCGAAGTTGGGCGAGGCGGAGTCCTCCCCCAGAGGCCGCGCGAGGCGAAGTGTAGACCCAAGGGTCGGGCAAGGCGAAGCCCACGACTTCGGGGTCGGGCGAGGCAGAGCACAGACCCAAGAGTCGGGCGAGGCGGAGCCCGTGGCTTCGGGGTCGGCGAGACAGAGTCCTCCCCCAGAGGCTGGGCAAGGCGGAGCGCACACCCAAGGGTCATGCAAGGCGAAGCGTAGACCCAAGGGTCAGGCGAGGCGAGTCCTCCCCCCTGCAGGCCGGCAGGCGAGGCAAAGGGGCACCCAAGGGGTGGGCGAGGCGTGAGCAGTGGAGACCCAAGGGCTCAGGCGAGACGGAGAGTCCTCCCGAGAGGCCGAGAGAGGCGGCCGCACCCAAGGGTCGGGTGAGGCAGAGCGCAGACCCAAGGGTCGAGCGTGGCGGAGCCCATGGCCTTGGGGTCGGATGAGATGGAGTCCTTCCCCAGAGGCCGGGCGAGGCGGAGCGCAAACCCAAGGGTCGGGCGAGGCGGAGCCCACGGCCTCGGGGTCGGGCGAGGTGGAGTCCTCCCCCTAAGGCCGGACGAGGCGAAGTGTAGACCCAAGGGTCAAGCGAGGCGGAGCCCGTGGCCTCGGGGTCAGGCGAGGCGAAGTCCTCCCCCAAAGGCCGAGCGAGGCAGAGCTTGTGCACCTGGGGGTCGGTTGGAGCTGTAATCGCGCTTTTGACTGCACGGATGAATCAATGTTGATGTTTATTAGCTCCTCCTCTTCGGGTACCCTAGTATTGGTCACTGACAGTAGCCCCCAAGCCTGCGGAGGAGTAGAATACTCTTTCGAAGGCTTTTCCGAATGGGAGAACTCTGAAGGCCTTGGCCTTCTTTTTCTTGCCCATAGCGTGATCTGGGGACGGTGATTCCCTTTCGTTGAGATTGAACCCCTCAGGAGTATAGCCATGAGGTTTGGTGGGTCGGAAAAAGTCCTTCCCTGATTTTGACCCCTTTGGGGGTCTGTCGTTCTACGACCGTGTGTTTGGTCTCCTTGCGAGCCCAACTTTCCTCGAGCCCCCATGCGTAGCCGGGTTCCGGTCGAGGGCCAGCTCGTCTTTGTGACCGTCATCCATCCACGGTTTCCGCAACCTGTTTGAAACATGAATATATCATTCTTATAAGATAATATAGGGATAACACACAGACCCCTCCGATCTTAAATAAATAGAGAAAACACAAAAATTGGCAGCGACAGGACAGAGTCAAAACTGGAATTTATATAGGATTCAAAAAAATTGAAATTTATATTACAAGTTTTATGGTGGTTAAGAGAGATATGAACCGTCCATGAAGAGAGATCGAATGGTGAAGAAATCGAAGGTTACAAAAAAGTACTGAAATGTACCAAATAAATAAGATTAGTAACAAAATACATGGGGCCAGTACCAATGCTTTTTTTTCAATTTCTATTAAAATGAAAAGGTAAATTGGTAATTTGGCTGAGCTCCCGTGGCACCCCCTCCGGCTGGCCCTGGGGATTCTCCAGCCCATCGCCAGCCCGCAGACACCACCTGCCTTCGCCAGCTGCGCAGGCCTGTACGGCCCAGACGGTGCCCCCAGGCCCCAGCTTTCCTGGCCCGCCTTGGCCTGCTCAGCCTGCATCATGTAGCCATCCGCTGGCCCGCTCGCACAGCCGCGCGCACTCACCAAGTTTCAGTTCTGCAACTCCAAGAATTTTTTTTTGTCAGAGCCGACGGAGAGGGAAACTGTCACTGCTCCAATAGCATTTAAAAATTGTGCCGCGTGTACCACGTGAAAACGATGCTTACTTGAACTCCACGTAGGCCGCATCATGGGCTAATCAAGTGGACTAGCTTCACATTTAGAGGTAATATAAGTTAGGGTTAGCACCACACACACATAAATATCTATATATATCTTGCCGTGCTAGCTAGCTCAATAAACAGCGCACACACACACTCACGACAGGATGGGGTTCTTGGTGTTGCTTGCTGCTTACACAGTGACACTGCTGCTGGCGTTCACCATTGCCACCCTGTACAGATCTATGCAGAGCAAGCGTATTTCCGTGACAGCTCTCAACAAACCGGCTCCTCCTCCTGGCCCCGCCGGCCACCCTCTCCTCGCAGCCTCCTCTACGTCATCGGGCCCCTCCGACACAACCCGCACCGGAGCCTCGTCGCCCTCGCGAAAGCCCACGGCCCCATCGTGTACCTCCGGCTCGGCCTGACCCGCGGCATGGCCGTGGTCTCGTCCGCCGCCGTCGCCCACGAGGCCCTGGTGAAGAACGACGCGGCGCTCGCGGCCCGGCTCGTCCCCGACAACGTGCGCGCGCTGTCGTACGGCGCCAAGTCCATGGTCTTCCTCCCGAGCTCCGACCAGCTGTGGCGGCAGCTCCGCGTCCTGATCGGCGCCGGCTTCTCCTCCAGCCAAATCCGCCCCGTCCTGGAACGCCGTGCCGGCCACGTGAGGGCGTGCGCTGGCTCCGGGAGGCCGTGAACGGCACGGTGCTCAACGTCGTGCCGAACGTTCTCTTGTCCGAGGACGTGGTGGACCTGCGCGAGCAGCAGAAGGCACAGACGTTCAAGAGCCTCGTCGTGCCCGTGCTCGAGGAGTGGTCCAAGCCCAGCGTCTCCGACGCCTTCCCTTTCCTGGCGCCGCTGGAACACCTCCTCGGCTCGCGCCGCCGCATCTCCACGCACGTGGCCAAGCTGTTCAGGTTCTTTGATGAGGTGATCATTGAGAAACGATTAGCTTGCGGCGAGAAGCACAATGACATCTTGGATGTTCTCCTCTCCCGGATGGCCATGGCCAAGCTCACGCGCCAACAGATCACTACATTTCTAACAGTACGCATACACACATACTATCTTGGATAAACTTTGCATGATTACATTGAATATAACCTGCATCATCGGTTTATAGGATATGTTCATCGCGGCGAGTGACACGAGCACGGTAACCGTGCAATGGGCGATGGCAGAGCTGCTTCGCCACCCGGAGAAGATGAAGAAGGTGAACGCCGAGCTCGCTGAGAAACTAGGGTCTAAAGATTTCGTCACGGAGAGCGACCTCAGCGAGCTGCCGTACCTCCATGCCGTGGTGAAGGAGACACTTCGCCTACACCCAGCAGTACCTCTGATACCGCCTGTTACTACGGAGAAGAGGACCGAGGATGGGGAAGGCCCGCAAGTCCGGCCCAGATCGCCAAGACAAAGGAAGCCCAATCCCAGATTCATCGGAGAGCAATGGGCCTGAGGCAAACGCTTGCTAGCGTGAAAGGGGCAAGTCCCCTGTAATATAAAGAAGGGAGAGAGAGCACTCGTGAGGTACACGGATGTAAACAGAACTCAAGTTACTCTACTAAGATTCATCATCGCTATCTCTGTTCTTCTTCCTCCTCAACTTCTCCTCCACGCCTCCTTTTTCCCCTTCTCCCGACCTCTGCCTCTCACAATTGGTATCAGAGACAACGCTCCTCGGCCTCCGATTCCGTTTCCGACCCACTGTTCCCCATCGATCGCTTGAATTCCACCGGGTTTTGGTTGGTCTAACCCTGAATCGAGGCCTGTGGACTACAGCTTGATTCGGGGATTCCGTAATTCCGATCCAGGAATCGCGATTTGTGGTGTGCGTCGATCTGGATCGAGCCTCCCTCTCTTCACACGAACACTATAACCGTCGCCAGAAGAAACTCGGGGCCATGGATCCGAACCAGAAGCTCCTCCTGGATGAAATCGACAAGCGCATCGCCGCCCGCTTCGACGGTCTTGAGCGCCGGCTCGACGCCTCCGCCGATTCCTCCTCATCCAGACTTGATGCCTTGGAAAGCGCTGCCCGCTCGTTCGATGAGTGGCGCCCCGGCGTCGATGGCTTCATCGACGACCTGCGCGTGGAGGTCAAGCGCCTCTCCTCCCTGAAGCTTGAGGTCGGGAAGATCTCCAAGTACATGGAGCACTCCATGGTGGATGGGCCATCTCCGACTCCGGGTGTGCACGGGTCCGTTCCTGACGTGCTCGTCCCCAAGCCCCTGTCAGCTCTGCCGTCGCCAGTGGCTCCGCTCCCCACCGTCAAGTCCTCCCCGCGCACTCCGATGACCAGGTCCCCTGCGCCGTCACCAACACACAAGACGGCCACACATGGGGAATTCGAGGCTGCCCCGCGCACATCTGCGGGAACATCAGCCAACAGGCCCGATGGGCACCGCTTCGATTTTGGGACCCGGGACGGTGCTTTCGGAGTGCCCACCACTCTGATTCCACCGCCCGGCAAGGGTACGTTTCCTGGCCGACCTCCTTCCATGTTTCCTCTCCCGTGTCCTCCGCCTCGCCCACCACATCCACACCCACAGCACCATTACGAGGCCGGTCATCAGGGGGATTCTAGAGGGGATCACATAGGGAAATTGCCTAAGTTTGATTTTCCTAAATTCGACGGTGACCACCCAAAACTGTGGATTAAGCAGGCTGTTCATTACTTCAAACTCTACCGTGTCGAGTCCACTGTGTGGCTATCTGCTGCCACTATGCATTTCCAGGGACCAGCCAAGCGCTGGCTCTCTTCAGTGGAGGAAGAGCTTGAAAATCAGGGGTGGGATGAGTTCTGTGCACAATTGTTGTCACGCTTTGCACGCGACGAACACGAACTCCTTCTCCGTCGTTTGTTCCAAATCCGCAACCGTCTGCTTACGAGTATATCGAGAAGTTCGTAGAGGGTCGGTAGATGAACTCAAAGCTTATGCTAAACATCCGCATCTCTTTACTATGTTCAACGTTTCATTGACGGCTTGCGTGATGAAATTAAAGCTGTTCTTATGGTTCACAAGCCAGCTACTCTGGATACTGCTTGCGTGTTGGCTGAATTGCAGGAGGAAGCGTTGGGGCTCACCAAACGACCATACCGACACTTCGATCAAGCCAGCAACGCCAAGCCGGGGTGGGGGCCTCCCTTGGCCTTGCCGCCACCGCCTCCACAAGCTCCTGGTGCGGTCAGGCGCCCCGTGAATGTCGCCGCAATGACGATTGATGACAAGATGCAAGCCCTTCGTGCTGCTCGTCGCGCTCAGGGGCTCTGTTATCGCTGCGGCGCCAAGTGGAGCCGGGATCATCGATGCTCTGAGACGGTACAGCTTCACCTCGTTCAGGAACTTTGGGATATTCTGCCAATCTCTGATGATGCAGATGAGGAGGGCCCGGCGTCCCCGACGACGTCCCATATCATGATGCACCTATCGGTGTCAGCAATGGTAGGCTCAACTGCACCGGGCACTCTATGTTTGTCGGGATCTATTCAGGGCATAGCTATCTCCATCTTGGTCGACTCTGGCAGCTCACACTCATTTCTGAATGCGTCCCTCGCTCAGTCGTTGGTGGGTGTTCAAAATCTGGCTCAACCTATCAGTGTTCAGGTAGCTAATGGCGATGTCACTCGAGTTCAAATTTCCATATTCCTGCAGCTCGTTGGGAGGTCCAGATTACTCATTCTCTATTGATTTGAAGTTGTTTCCATTGTGCCGCTTATGATATGATTTTGGGACCGGATTGGTTAGGCGCTTTCAGCCCTATGCACGCGCTCACATGGTCTCATCAATGGATGGCCATACCTTATCGTGGCTCTATGCAGCTTTTTACTAGGCAAGTCTGCGTCGCCCATCGAGTTCGATCATTCGCTTATGTTTGGTGCGCGAGATTCAATGAACCCTCATTTAGCTACTGCTCATTTGCTAGTTGCGATTCGGATTTACTCTCGTAGTTTGCACGAGTTGTTTGAGCCGGTTTCCGGTCTACCACCACGCTTGTGGATCATGACCACGCTATTCCGTTGATTCCCGGTGCTCATCCAATGGTCATCGGGCCTTACCGTTATGCTCCCATGTTGAAATCAAAAATCGAGCGACAGAATTCTGACATGTTGCAGCAAGGCCTCATTCAGAAAAGCTCTAGCTCTTTCGCTTCTCCAGTGCTACTTGTCAAGAAGAAAGATCAAACCTGGCGTTTCTGCGTTGACTACCGCCAGTTGAACGCAATCACTGCGAAGGCCAAATACCCGGTTCCTATCATCGAAGAACTGTTGGATGAGTTAGCTAGTGCCAGTGTGTTTTCAACTCTAGACTTACAATCTGGTTTCCACCAGATCCGGCTGAAAGATGGCGAAGAACACAAGACAGCGTTCCAGACACACTTTGGGCAATTTGAGTTTTGTGTGATGTCCTTTGGCTTGACTGGTGCTCCTGGCACATTTCAGGACGCCATGAACATGACTTTGCAACCATGTCTGCGACAGTTTGCTCTAGTATTCTTCGATGATATATTGGTGTACAGTCGGTCTATGGAAGAGCACCTGACACATTTGAGAATGGTCTTTGAACTCTTGGCTCGCGATCATTGGCAGCTCAAACGTTCCAAGTGCACCTTCGCACAAAGTCGGATCGCTTACCTGGGTCACGTCATCAGCGCTGACGGTGTGGAGACTGATCCGTCCAAGTTGGACGCAATTGCAGCATGGCCGACCCCTACATCAACCAAGGAACTCCGGTCCTTCTTGGGATTGGCCGGCTACTACCGCCGTTTCGTTCGTCACTTTGGCATCATTTCAAAGCCTCTGTCAAATTTGTTGAAGAAGCATACCCTGTTCATCTGGACACCGGACCACGAGTCTGCATTCCAGGCTTTGAAAGCGCCATTGCAGCGCCTCTCTGTCTCCGGCCTTACCGAACTTCGCACGACCTTTCACCATCGAGACCGACGCGCCTCGGATGCGGGGTCGGTCGTGCTCATGCAAGACGGTCACCCGCTCGCATATCTTAGCAAGGCTCTGGGAACTAAGTCCAAGGGGCTATCCATGTATGAGAAAGAATTCTTGGCTATCCTTCTCGCAGTCCAAGCTTGGCGTTCCTACATGCAATTTCAGGAATTCGTCATTCTCACCGACCAAAAGAGCCTTACTCAACCGACGGATCAACGATCGTGATACCTATTGGCAAAACGAGTCTTCTCCAAACCGATTGGACTCCAATATCGGATTGTTTACGAGGTTGGTTCAAGAAATCGCTGGCCGACGCGTTGTCTCGACACCCTCAAATTACCCATTTGTTTGCAATGTTGTTTCCTCTCTGGTGCCATCACGACAAATAAGGGTCGGCGCTAGTTACCATAATGATCCTTTCGCGATCGAGCTGATCACCAAACTCACACTGGATCCTCCTTCGCTCCCAAGTACTCCTTTCATCCGGCATCCTTCCGTTATCTTGCTCCGGCGTGTGGGTAGGCAGGATTTTTAGGCTGCAGCATCCCCTCATTACATAGTTTCACTCCAGCTCTTGGGGTGACATTCCGACGATTCTGTTACCTATGCTCGACTCAAGCAATGTTTTGCTGGCGTGGCATGAAGACCGCTGTCGAGAGTTCGTCCAAGCTTGTGTCACTTGTCAACAATCCAAATATGATCGAGCTAAACCGCCAGAGGCTTACGCAACCACCGCCAAGACTGACTCGGCATGGCAAGTTCTTTCTCTTGACTTTATTGAAGGACTTCCAACTTCCCAATCGTACAATTGCATCCCGGTGGTCGTTGATCTCCTCACTAAGTATGGACATTTCATCCCTCTTCGCCATCCTTTTTATCGCAAAGAAGCGTGGCTAAGGCATTCTTCGCTAATGTACCGCACCATGGATCGCCTCACTCCATCATCTCCGACCAAGACCGTATCTTCACAAGCCATTTTTGGTCGGAGCTGTTCCGGTTAATAATGTCGAGTTATGCCAAGCACACGCCCTACCATCCACAATCGGACGGCCAAACCGAAAGCGCCTCAACCAATGCCTGGAGACGTATCTACGCTGTTTTGTTCATGCCACGCCAACCAAATGGAGTAACTGGCTCACCTCTGCTGAGTTCTGGTACAACACGAGTTCCCACTCGGCCATCGGCCGTTCTCCATTTGAGGCATTGTATGGCTACCCACCTCGCCTTCTTTGTTAACCCCAATTCGACAACCAATCAAGAAGTGTTCAACCGGGCTTCACAGGCGTCAATTCATGGATGAGTTACTACAAAGACACTCAATCGGGCTAAGAGTCGCATGAAAAAAGCAAGCCGACCAAACCGATCTGAACGTCACTTCAATGTCGGCGAGATGGTCTTCCTTAAACTACAACCGTATGTCCAAACTTCCTTGGCACCCCGTTCACACCAAAAGCTCAGTTTCCGCTTCTTTGGTCCATACCGTGTTATGGCTCGAGTTGGCACGGTGGCTTACAAGCTTGATCTTCCGGCACATTCTGCTATACATCCTGTTTTTCATGTTTCACAGCTCAAACGTGCCGTGGGGACATCTCATCAGGTAATTCCAATACTTCCTACTGATTTTGCCCTACATCTGGCTCCAGAGAAGATTCTGCAGACTCGCTCCTCAACTCGCGGCGACAAGCAAGTGTCTCAGGTGCTGGTCAAATGGAACAATCTGCCGCTGGAGTTCGCTACCTGGGAAGACTACGAAGCCCTTGTCGATGTTTTACCACCGATAGCCTACCACGGGGGTACCGTGGCAGTATCGTTCGGGTTTCGGCGTATGCTGAACTCGATGGTGAACGCAAGAGACAGTCGATTTATCCTGGTTCAGGCCCTCGATCGTAGATCGAGTAACGACCCTACGTCCAGTCGGCATTTGCCTTTTGCGTTGGATTGATTATGAAGTGTTATGTCGTACCCATTGTCCCCTTCTTTAGGAGCCCTGGCCTCCTTTATATATTCAGGAGGCCGGAGTCCTAATCGGTTTACAATGAGATTTCCTAGTAGGATTACTTAATAGTTCTATTACTAAGATTACATGGGAAGAACCCTAGTTGAACTAGATCTTCTCTCTCTCTTGCGGGGTATCCTGTGGGTCCCACATCGACAAGCCCCCGAGCACTTCATGGTTGAGCTCTGAAAGTCTCGCTTTGCTCCTTCAAGTCTTGTTAGGTTGGAACAAAATGTTATCCGAGTGCTTTCTAGAGTGAAACCTTGTAGCGCTTCTTGGGACCCTTGAGTGGTGAGTGTTTTGTGAAGAAAAAGTACATCCATCTGGTTGTAGCCCCCGAGCCTCTTGCTATTTGGAACAAGGAGCTGGAGGATCTTGTCTTGAAGTTGCTCGATTGTTCGTTGAAGTTTTGTCAAAAGAACTCGAATATGGCTCGCTCCGGGTTCTTTTTGTCATAATGTCTTGAAGTAGTCTCGCATTGAGGAAGTCTTTTGATGGCGTGCGCTTTTTCGAGAAAAGTGCACTCACCGAGTGTAGCCCCGAGCCTCTTGCTATTTGGAACAAAAAGTTAGAGGGTCTTGATCCTTTATGTTTGTTTAAAAATCCGTGCTCTGAAGTAATCCCTGAGATTTGAATCTTGTCCTCATCCGAGTAGTTTTTGTGGTATCTTTCCGAAGCGTTTCTTTAGTCCTAGATTAAGCCATCATCCGAGTAGTTTCTGTGGTATCTTTCTGAAGCGGTCCCTTAGTATTGGATTAAACCATCATCCGAGTAGTTTCGTGGTGTGCAGCCTCTGAGCCTATGTCCGGGTTCTTTTTGGGTGGGTGCAATTTTTTATAAAAATTGCACTCACTGAGTGTAGCCCCCGAGCCTCTTGCTTTTGCTTGCAAAAGTTGGAGGGTCCAGATTCCTATCTTCAAAAAATTCTGGGGCTATGTATCCCGCAGCCTCGTGCTTTCTCCGAGTTCTTTTCTTTTGAAAAAGAAGTCGGTTGAAGAGTCTTGATGCGTTGTCGTCGTTGTAGTCTTGAGTTTCTTGTACTTTTTGTCTTTTGTCTTTGGTTCTGAGTCCCCGGGAGTAGTTGAAATGAGTGCCGGATTCCCTGGCTTAGTGTTGATTAATCTGTGATGCTAGCCGAGCCCCCGAGCGTATACCCGTGCTGTTTTGTTCAGGAAGAACTCGGATGCGAGGTCTTGGCGTATTCTTTGATAGTCTGCTTTCTGTGTATGTAGTTGTATGGTGGTGGTTGAGTGTAAATGCTTTTTGTTCACGGGTTGTACTGTGATGGTATATCCTTCCGAATATGCTCGTCTTCGAGCACTGTTTTCCTCTCGCCTGAGTCGTCCATTATTGAGTCCTGTCCTTTCACTATGTTCTTTGTTAGGCTTATTTCGTCGGTGCTCCTGGTCCATGTGCGCCGCCCTTTGGTCTATAAATACAGATCCCGAGTGCTAGTTTTCATCTATTGGATATTCCGTTGAAACCTTCGTGGGTATGAGCATGGTAGTTTGTGAAGTAGAGCAACCCCGGGCATATTTTGTAGTTCCTGTGTGTTTTGTTGTAGCCGGAGGAAGTCTTGTGATAGGGATTAGAGGTAGGCTAATCCTCATGACAAAGATTGTGCCGTGATGTATGTGGTGGTAGTTGGAGGAAGTCTTGTGATGCGGGCTTCGTTTCTTCATCTGGCGCTCTGGTTGATCCTCGTCGCTTTGCCTTGAGACCGTCTCGGCAGATCAACACCATATATAGTATCACATCGGTCTTGGGTAGACAGATGCCCGCCGGCCTTCTCTGCTCCAAGTTGTCCTGCCGTGCTGCCGATTTCCACCTTGAGTGCACTGCGTCCTTCCTTTGAAGAAAACAGCGTAGCTGATGGCGGTTTGTCCTTCCGAGTAGCAATTTGGGACACGTAGTCGTTCCAGAGTCTAGCCGTGTGTGTGTTCCTCTTTGCTACCTCGCTTTTCTTAGTGCCGAGTTTGTTGGGTCTTGTAAGATTTGTAATCTTCTATTTTTGAAGTCGCTTGTAATGTAACGAATCTTGTCTTTAAGGTTTGTAATCTTCTGCTTGTAATGTAACTAATCTT